TTTGTAGCAGTCATATTTTGCTTGTTTAATACAATACATTAGAATACATTAGTATGATAGCTCTTAGATAGTACGAGCATAAGTAAGGCATTTGCATGCAAGCGTTTTGGCACCGGCAAGTAATATAAAGCGGTAACGAGGAACATATGAACCTGACGGCATGAGCACTCTGTGTGACCACGCTCGATTCCCCTGCACTGCCTTTTCTGGGTTTCCATTATCACAAAAACAATACGAAAGCCGGCAAACACATCCGTCACCCAAACGAGTATACTGATAACTCCTCGCAGCCGTTGGAGGATGTACATGTACATATAAATAAATCTAAATAAAACACCCTTCTTCTTTCCAATTTCACTGCCGAGCGGCTGAACTGTGTCGATAGTGTGGGATATATTTGAACGCAGGGTCGGTTGCGGTGCTCGGGTGGAGACGCAAGGCATTGAGCTGAAGGCCTGCGAAGGCAGCAGCATCCGCTGATGAACTGAATCCAATACAGACGGCAGAGGAGCTGCTCTGGAAGGTGCAGCCCAGCTCCTTTGTGATCCTGATGGATGGAGCTTGTAGTGCCAGAGCTCTCATTGTCCGGCTGTAATTGAAAGATTCCTGGGGAGGATTTTTTTGCGGTCTGTGTTGGTGTGTGTGCGCGTGTACTTGTGTGTGTGTACGTGTGCGTGCGTGTGTGCCTGTCCATCTGTCCATTCATCCATACTACAGAGAGACATATTTGTGTGTATGTACCTAGATTCACGTAGGGTACACACACTGATGAGACACACACACACACACACGTCGTCAGTATGTGTGACATGCATCAGCTCATGATGTCATGGATGGTCATGAAAAGGTCAACTCCCAGCACCGGACTTCCTGTACAACGGCAATGTGCAGAGGGAAATAGTGGTGTGTGTGAGTGGTGTCTGTTAGTGCGTGTGGATATTGGTGTGCACAGTGCTCAGTGAGTTAGGGAGACGGTTCAAATGAGCTGATTGTGATGGTAATGCAGGCTTGAGTGAGAACCCAGGCCTATTTGCATGGCTTTTGTTGTACATCACTATAGTGTAGTACTATATTCATCACATAGGTAGATAGTAAGAGAGAGAGAGAGAGAGCGGGAGAGAGAGAAAGAGGGAGAGTGAAAGAGAAGGAGAAGGAGAAGGAGAGGGAGAGAGAACAACGTGGAAAAGGAAAGGAAAGTAAAGAGATAGATTATGGCATAACACACACACATACACTACAACGCACATACACACGCCAAGCGTGCCGACACACACACAAACACACACACACACACACACACACATCATACAATGCATACCAGTGTGACTCCATCGTCGTTGGTGTGGTTCAGGCCTCCCCAGCTGCCTGACATCTGCCTGACGAGAGAGAGAGAGACAGACAGAATCAGATAAATGAAATTGACAGTAGAGTGAACACTGGCACTCTCTCTCTCTCTCTCTCTCTCTCTCTCTCTCTCTCTCTCTCTCTCTCTCTCTCTCTCAAGTAAGAGAGGGAGAAAGAGAGAATGAGAGAGAGAAATGCTGTCGTTATTTGATAAGAAGGCTATTAACATATAGCACATCATTCACACACAGTGAATACGCTCCACCGCCATCCCAATCGCACCACAGGGCACTCTGGCGCGCGCGTGTGTGTGTGCTCCCCGTGTGCCCATGCATGATCGCACGCTCGCAGGAGAACGCATACCTGCGCATGCATTCATGCATCGACAAGCCGCGTGCTGTGCGTGCGTACGTGCGCATGCTTGTGTGTGCGTGTGTGTGTGCCCACAGGTCTCCATGCGTCAAGTCTTTGTCCCGACACACGTGTGTCCGTGCTCCATTGTTTACACGCCAAGGCCGTGTTTACTTTACCATAGAAAGCAGAGTCTAGGCGTCACAAAGGGCCCATTCAGGCCGGACCAAGTGCCATTCATGCCTCTCTCTCCTCCCTGGGCTTCCACACAGACTGGGTCGGGGGGGGGGGGGGGGGGGGGGGGGGGGCAGCCTTAGACCCAGAGGAAGTTGCCGCAGAGTGGAGGCGGGCCACAATGGCGTCTTCACAGAGCCCTCTCTCTCTCTCTCTCTCTCTCTCTGGGCCTACTCTCTTCATTCTTTCCCAACACGCCTCCATACATGTCCTCGGGCCGCCATTTTGTGCTCCTTCGTCTAGCCCCCCCCCCCCGCCCCCCCCCTTTTTGCTGTTGTGTCGTTTTTTTTTGTTATTGTTGTTGCCTGTCTGACTTTACATCCTCCTCGCTCTGTTAACTCTGTCGCTTCTGCTCCGACTTTAAATTCCTCTCATTCTCTCGGTGCATATGATCGTATGATCTCTAGGCTGTCTGTCTCCTCAGCCTGTCGTCTCTCTTTTCATCCTTCATCCAGACCTGCCTCTGCCTTTCTCGCTCGTTCTTTTCCTCCTCGCTCGTTCAAAACAGGCCCTGGCCCTTGACTAATCAAACTGACAGGCCTATAAATCAACCCTTAATCTGGAGGTTTCTCCACCGTCACGAAAAAAAATGCAACCAGGCACATACATACATATATATATATATATATATATATACATCATACAAACACACACACAACCCCAACTGCAGCCAGGCACACACACACACACACACACACACACACACACACATACAACTTACATTCATGTACACAAAAACACACACAAGCACTCACAACCCCAACTGCAGCCAGGCACACACACACACACACACACACTATCGCTACACTAACTCATTGCGACCGCCTGAAGCCAATTACATTAGTGTAGCCTGGTCAACAAAGTGATTTATGAGGAAATCTATTTTATAGTTGCTTTATTCGTCTTTTATGATACAGTATGTGTTCTTTGGCCAGGTTTTATTTTCTGTCAATGTGTAAGGTTAAATGATAGCATTTGAGCCTTGGTCCATTGTCGCTCCCCCCCCCCCCCCCCCCCCCACGACCATATACACACACAGTTCATGCCCCCCCCCCCCCTTCTTTCACCATTAAAAGTAAGAGCAGCGTAAAAAACGAGTGGCCGCAGAATTCAGTTATCATACAACAACGAAGGCACTGGACCCGCACACAGACCACCACTTGTTCCCTGAGTGGCTCCACTATGAACCACTGCTCCTGGACCATATGGTGGGTTTTAGGGGTAGGGAAAAATATTGATTCACTTTAGTATCGCACTTTTTCGCATTTATCGCATTTTTTTTTTTATCGATTTCTTTATGCCTGAATCAGTTGTTGTATTTATTTATTTATTTTTTGTATTTTATTATTATTTTAGTTAGTTTTTTTTTTTTTTTACAGTATGTTTATTGTTGTCACATTAAATGTCACCTTAAATGCATATAAGAAGTACACTACATCAACAGTAGCATGTAACCTTTCCTTAAACCCTCCCAGTATAGCATACAAGAAGTACACTACATCAACAGTAGCATGTCACCTTCCCTTAAACCCTCCCAGTATAGCATACAAGAAGTACACTACATCAACAGTAGCGTGTAACCTTCCCTTAAACCCTCCCAGTATAGCATACAAGAAGTACACTACATCAACAGCAGCATGTAACCTTCCCTTAAACCCTCCCAGTATAGCATACAAGAAGTACACTACATCAACAGTAGCATGTAACCTTCCCTTAAACCCTCCAGTATAGCAATGATGCTGCTGAGATAAAAGTCAGAAAGACTGACTGACCTGTGATGTTTTTGGAAATATGCCTCATGATACACAGTCTCTAGAAGGGTATAAATAACTTTCTCCATGGTCTAGTGTAAAAAAACAAAACAAAAATAGGATTAAATCGCAAAACCGCAATATGTATCGAATTGGCACCCAAGTATCGTCATAGTAACGAGTGGTTTCCCCCACCACAGGTGAGCGATCCATCCATCTGTATCTGTCTGTAGACCAGACTGCTGCTTTATGGGTAAACATTCACAGCGCAGCGCACAAAGCCACCGCCGCCGCCGCCTTTGACGTCTGAGGTGTCTTCGTCTGATGGATTGCAACGGCCGATCAGGAGCCGGGGGGGTGGGGGGGGGTATCCAGTTCCTTATTGCCTTTTGTGGTGCTGCTTAGTGCGTTCGCGGTCACCAACGGTCACATCCAGGATGCCGGTTTAGTGGTTCAGTGACCGGTAGTCTGCCATGATTTTCCATTTCAACTGTTGTCGGGGGGGGGGGGTTGATGTCACCTCTCTGCTCCACACGGAGCGAGTCACCCCCACCCCCCACCCACCCCCCCCCCCCCCCCCGGGCCCTGTAAAAACATCGGCCATTGACAGTTTTCATATCCTCACAGGAGAGGTCATGAGATTACAGAGTTCCTTTGTCTTTTATGGGCGCTGGGGGGGGGGGGGGGGGGGGGGGCAGGGAGCCGTGTGGTGTCTACAGCACCACCATTACCATACACAGAGAGGGTGAGAAAGAGTTCACACCAGGGTCCACTCGTGTAAAGCAAAGCTATCTCTCATTTATACAGACACACACACAGACACACTATCGATGGTACAAGTTGTTATGCTTCCGGCCCATCTGTTTGTTACGCGCGGTTCAGATATCACATAGACTGTGCCCTCATTGTGGACACGGTGTACACGCACACACACACACAGACACACACTCCACTCTCGTGTGCTTAAGTGTTGTTGTTGTTGTTGTGGTTGTTGTTTTGTTCGTAATTATGCTAACATTGACGGACTGTATGCTGTATCTCCTCCCAATCTCTGAGGCACTGCTTGTCTTTTTGGATGATGATGACTGGTGTGGCATTTGTCTTTATTTCACACAACACAAGTCATGTTTTTGTCTTTCACTCCAAGATTTGATGATAATTAGTTTACAGACACACTCTTTATAGACTTGTATGTATCCATCTGGAGGGAGATACCAGTGTGTGTGTATGTGTGTGCGTGTGTGTGTGTGTGTGTGTGTGTGTGTGGGTGTGTGTGGGTGTGTGTGTTACAACACACACACCCACACACACACACAAAGTGGTCCTGACCTAGCTCAACTGGTAGAGCGTGGCGTTAACATTGCCAGGGGTAGAGGTTCGATTCCCACTGGGACCACCCATGTTAAAACACTCCTGGTACTGTGAAACGCTTTGGATAATAGCGTCCGCAAAATGGCATAAATGTACATACAACAGCGATGAGATGACTAAGTTAAGAGCTTTTTACACATGCCAGTGGCACTCCAGTCCTTACGTAGATGGCCCTCACCTGAACCGCCCACCCACCCACCCACAGCCGACACTGAGATAACATTGCCGGGGAAGCTGTGGCCACATAAAGCGGCTCCTTTGACATACTAGAATTTATAGGCGCCGTCAGCCATGTTTTTACTAGTGTCCATCCGTCCAGAAACCCCCAAGCGATCAAAGGCTTGGAGGAGTGTCCGAGCGACGGCTGTCTCAGTGCAACGTCATCCCTGTTACCCCCCCCCCCCCCCTTTTTAACCTTGTTGTGTTTCAGCAGCATACCGTAGAGACAGGGTCTTACGCTGCCTATAGCCTCTCGCTGCTTTTGCTTCCCACCTTTTTGCTGTGTGCTGCCCAGGGTCAAAGTTGAAAGGGGGCTCGGGGCATTTTGCCCCTAAGAAAATTAGAATTGATAATAATCGAAGTTTGGGATGACGGGGGCTTTTAAAGGCTCCCATGAAATAAAGAGTTGACTTCTGTATTTTACTCTGTAGTTGTAAAAAGCAGGTCCAGATTTAGTTTTTTCGTAGCTGGATTCATTAATATTGGTCCTGCAACAAAAATAAGGTCATCTGAAATTCACCCCAAACGTATTACATGGGGGCAAATGAAGCCCCTGTTAAAAAAAGGGTATTTCCTACCCTGCCCCTTTTCTCCTCGTCCCACCCTCCCCTCCCTCCCCTCCCCTCCGCGATCAAAACAAACCACTCTCCCCGACCAGCTGACCGCACGTAGCAACGGTTGCCACAGGCAACACCAATAGGAGCAGATGTTGTTTGGCTGGTCTGCTTTATGACCTCGCCCAACCTTTGACCCCATTGTTTTTGAACAGTTCAGAGGAGGAGAAGGGAGGGGGAAGGAGGAGGGTGGGGTGGGGGGGGACTGAAGGGATCTTGGAAACAGTTTTCCATATTTAAATTCAGATCTTTGTCCGCTCTTGTTGTTAAACTGAGATGTTTCTTGTTCTGTTGTCTGTGTGTGTGTGCATACCTGCGTGCGTGCGTGTGTGTCTGACAGGTATAGAGATTTGGTGGACACCACCCTGGGCAGCAAGAAGAAGCTTTCGGCAGAGGAGAAGTGTCGCTCCGTTCTGCAGCAATCCAAGCTGCAGGGATGGCAGGTGTGTTAGTGTGTGTTAGTGTGTGTGTGTGTGTGTGTGCTTAAAGTTCATCAGTGAGTATAAGAACATTGAGCACATACAAGGAGTACAAGCACACACACACACATTCCTAATCTTCAAGCTGGCTGTTCTCGTCTCTGTTTATGGTCTCCGTTCATAACAAAAAGATATGCTAAACAATCTATTGCCTGATTCTCCCACATGGACCGGTTCCCATGGCGTTTCGGTCAAGTGGTAACAGCTGTCCTTCACACACACACACACATACACACACACACACAAACTAAACATATGCACAGCAGTGCGGATTCCTCCGCCCTTCTCGCCAGCATCTAGCAGACTGCTGTTGTGTCTGCGAGTGTGTGACCCCAGAGGCCACAGCAGCTCCCGCCTCACACACACACACACACACACACATACACACACTAACACAGACACACACATTCACACACACACACTCCTACCCAATGGCCCAGCCAGCACACATGCACATGCATGTGCAAGCACACAGGCATACATACACACACACACACACTAACACACAAAACACACACCCCCACACACACACACACATACAAACACACACACACACACACACACGTACACATACGTACACATACACACACACGTACACATACACACATAAAACACACACATGCACACACACACAAACACATATATACACACACACACACACATGCACACACACACAAACACATATATATACACACACACACACATACACGCACACACACTACTCTTACAAGTAGTGTGTATAGGAATGAATGGGGTCCGTCTGCAGCGTCGTGGGGTCCTTGAGTGCACCTGTCCCGGGCCTGTTGGGGTAACCCCGGTCACCCCGGCTCCCCTCCCAAACAAAACAACAAAAGGCCCCTAAATCCCGGGCACAGAAGGCCACACTGACGCGCTGCACACGCTGCACACGCTGCACAGCCGTCCTCCAATCATACCTCACCGCCCCCCCTCCCATCGCCACACTCGCATCTCCTTGTAATCAGTCACAACACACACACACACACACACGCTCTATCAGGCAGCCCTGTCAGGAGACACTACAGCCTCTGGCCGACATCCATGGGACTGCTATCAGTAAGATGATTGATGAGGATGAGGATGAGGATGAGGATCAGGATGATGATTGATGATGAATGATGAATGATGAATGATTGATGATGATGATGATGATGATGATGATGATGATGATGATGATGATGATGATGATGATGATGATGAAAGCTAGATAGATAAATAAGGAGTTTGGAGAAAGTGAATTGAAAAACAAGTGGTTCTACTGGTATAGTAACTGGTGTGTGTGTGTGTGTGTGTGTACGTACGTGCGTGCATGCCTTTGTGTGTGTGTGTGTGTGTGTGTGTGTGTGTGTGTGTGTGTACCTGCTCCCCCACAGATCGGCGTCAGTAAAGTGTTCCTGAGGTACTGGCAGGCGGACCAGCTCAACGACCGCTGTTACCAGCTCCACAAGAAGATCATCACCTGTCAGAAAGGTAGTCTGACCCCCTACCCCCCATCTCTCTCTCTCTCTCTCTCTCTCTCTCACGCTCTGTCTCTGTCTCTGTCTCTCTCTCTCTCTCTCTCTCTCTCTCGCGTGCGTGCTTTCCCTCTCTCACGCTCTCTCTCTGTCTCTGTCTCTCTATTTCCCACTCCCCTCTCTCGTCTCAGTGGTGCGCGGCTGGTTGGCACGGCGACGCGTCCACCGCGGTCTCTCGCTGCAGCCGAGCGAGGAGTGCAACGTGCAGCGCTTCCTGCAGGGGGCCGAGGACATGGGCCTGCGGACCTACGACCAGCTGGTGATCCAGAACGCCTCGGATATTGCCCGCGAGAGCGACCGCCTGCGATGCTACGGCAACGGCCCGGTTGGATGCGCCGGCGCCAGCCCGCCCCTCGGCGAGAGACCTGAGCCGGTGGGCAAGGAAGAGGAGCAGCCGAGCAGGAGGTAGGCTGAGAGAAGGACGTGAAGGTCATTATCACATGTCCGGTCGTACCGGAACGCAATGTCCGTTCTCTTACTTCCAATGAGCTGTGTGGGTCAGTTAACACTCCCCGGGTCAAGAAGACTATAAGAACAAGACAAGAACAACAGCAGAGACAAGGAGAATAAATATGGAGTGTTTCGACGAAGAATTTGACACAGCAATATACGAAACATGTAACAGATGTCCGTCTTATCGGAAGTCCCTCCCGCCTCTCGCCGCTAAACCTGTGTAGCTGAAATGGATATCGCTCCCTCCGAAGTAGGGGCGGGCGATATGGGCAAATGTATTATCAGGATAATTATGGGGATTTCTACACAATGTCGATAAATATCACGATATGCTTATGAATTCAAAATACCATTCTAAACAGTCTAACTGAGGGTCATTACATGTATGGTAAGTAGTGTATGTATGGTAAGTAGATACCATGGTATATGGTATCGACTAAAACTAGTTTTCCCTATGCGAAGCGCCAGGGAACGAGGTGATGCAGTAGGGGAGAGAGAGTCCGACCCCCGTCTCCCTCACCCCCCCCCCCCCCCCCCCCACATGGTCGAACATCGGCACCGCAGGAGAAAAAAACAGGAGATTGGATTTAGATCTGGTCATTTCTCTTCCCATATTGGGGAAAATCCATGTTGAAAAATGGCATTTGTTTTTTTCATTTTTTTCAATCACGAAATCCAATTATTTTATCACATAAAACATGTGTGTGTGTGTGTCATTAAATATCTGCTGAATAGAGAAGACACCAGCAGCAGATGTGGCAATAATTAGCGGACGTTAACCGTACGTCTGAAGAGACGTCTACTGTTCCAACCGCCAAAGCCACACATACATCTCTAGGCATCATGCATATGCAGATGCCTTATTAACCACATTTACTCCGTCGTTGTCAACATATTTAATGATGAACGTCTGCAGCCTTGCTGACGATGCCATTCTTCATATTTACATTGTGTTAATTTGTTTGTTTGTTTCCCTAAGTGTGGGTTGGTTGATGGTTTGTCATTCCCTACTCCATAGCTGATCATTCCACACTGTAGCTTATGGGGCTTGTACATCAGAATGCAGCATGGGATTTTTTTGCTGGTGATACGCCATATTGAGAGGACTCAAGAGAGTTGTCATACTGTAAAATCCTAAATCCACGTAAATATACCGTAACCTAGGCTAATGAAAACGTTGCTTTGCCGCGTCTCGCATGACTGTGGCACTGTGGCAGTTTCAAACAGAACAATGTATTCCAAAATAGCGGCGGCATTGTGATTGTACATACATACATACATACACACACGCCATTGTGACATCACGATGTACAAGCCCTATAAGTCTCTCAAATGATTCGGCTTCTCCTAATCATTGTTTACTCTGATGCCACGTGTGGCGACCGGCGCATTACTCACCACGCTAAATAATAACCAATCAGCAGTTAGTGTCACTTGCAGGATGTACAACCGCGTGGAAGAAACATCAACCGTCAAAACGCCTTTTTGTGCATGCGTGTGTGTCTCTGTGTGTATGTGTGTGTGTGTGTGTGTGTGTGTCTGTGCATGTGTGCGAGCATATGACTGTGGCGTGATGTGTAATTAATGATGTCATTGTGTCCATGTGGACCAGCGGCTGTTAATTGCGACTATCATGATGGATTGTGGGATAATGAGCGTAGCTTTCAGCCTGCATTAACTCAACGCCGCGGTGCCGCGCCGGTGGAACGAACCGGCTTATCCCCACAT